CTTATGTATAGATGGTGTACAATTTGGGCACTTTTGTTTTCTTTGTTGTTCCATTCCAACCAAATAATTTTTGTTTGAAAGTTACTCTCCATTAATAAATTCCACATCTAACTTAGTTGTCTTCACCCATTATGTGTGTAGGCTAGCTGGTTGATTGCCTCCTCCACTGCATCGTACCGCCACCACCGCTGCACGGAGACAGTCAGCGACATGGATTTAACAACCATCCATGTGGCAGCATGTCTCACCATAGCTCTTTTGTTTCTGATCACCACTAAAATGATCATCCTACAAAGAAAAAATCTGAACAAAAAAGGCCCAGCACTTCCTCCCGTTGTGAGTGTCGCTTCACTGATTGCTCTTCTACCTACACTCCTAACCAGGGGTCTCCCCACCGTGATCCATGGCCTACACGCAAAGCTGGGCACCGTGTTCACGATAAGCCTGTTTGGGGTGAAGAAGGTGACCTTTCTGGTTGGGCCAGAGGCCACAGCTCACTTCTTCCAAGGCTCAGAGTCTGAGATCAGACAGTCGAATATCTACGAATTCAGTGTGCCCGTTGTTGGCCGAGGGGTTATGTATGATGTGGACTTGACTACGAGGAGCAGGCAGATCTGCTTCTGCACCGACGCGATAAAGTCGATGAACTTGAGAAGCCATGTTGATGCTGTGGTTCAAGAGGTGGAGGTATGTAATAAGCTATTCACACACACATATTCTCAATCAATTAATTTGATTTCTTGATGATGCATGTTCTCTGGATCAGATATCTTTTTCTTTATAATTATTAGTTAGTTCATGCTAACTATATATATAGCGTGTGTGTGCACATACCTGTTGTTTAGTACTTATTTCAGCTAACACAAAATGTGTAGGATTACTTTGCACAATGGGGGCAACATGGCGTTGTTGATCTAAAGCATGAGATTTGGCACTTGATCCTTGCCATCGCAAATCGGTGCTTGCTCGGAAAGCATATCCGAGACAACATGTTCGACCAAGTAGCCACACTCCTCAACGAGCTCTTCGACAACACCTCCTCCATGATCAGCTTCTTTTTCCCATACCTCCCTATCCCGCAGCACCGCCGGCGTGACAAGGCTCGCTCTAAACTTGGGGAGATTATCCACGAGGTGGTGAGAACACGCAGGAGCTCAGGCCTAGCCGAGAACGACGTGCTGCAGAGACTTGTAGACTCCAACTACATCAATGGTCGGCCCTTGACCGAGAGTGAGATCGCCGGGCTACTAGTCGGCATGGTGTTCGCAGGGCAGCACACCACCTCCAGCGCCGGCATCTGGACAGGAGCTTGCCTGCTCAGTGACGGTGAGTGACGGTGGAAGAGACCACCTGGCGGCTGCTGTGGAAGAGCAGAGAGAGATCGTCGGTCGGCACGGGGAGCGCCTGGACTACGACATCTTGCAGGAGATGGCCACCTTGCATTGCTGCATCAAGGAGTCGCTGAGGCTGCACCCTCCAGCAATCATGTTGTTCCGTCACGCGAGCAAGGGCTTCAGCGTGCGGTCAACAGAAGGCGACGTATATGGAATCCCTAAAGGACATACCTTGGTGACATGTATGGCAGTCAGCAACACCCTGCCATACATCTACAAGGATCCGCATGTGTATGATCCAAGTAGGTTTGGTCCGGAGAGAGAGGAGGACAAAGTTGGCGGCAGCAAGTTCTCCTACATGTCGTTCGGCGCCGGTAGGCATGCTTGCCATGGGAAGGACTATGCTTACATGCAAATCAAGGCGATATGGAGCCATTTGCTGAGAAACTTTGACCTCGAATTGGTCTCCCCTTTTCCGGAGGAAGCATGGGAGAAGCTTGTTCCAGAGCCTAGAGGTAAAGTGATGGTTAGTTACAGGAGACGGGTGTGTTCTGCATGAAAGAAATTGCTAGGTTCTGTTCTTGCGTGTGGAGGACTACTGGGTGCAATAGGTACAACGGTGAAGGAGTGAAGGCATATGCCTCCATGGCTCCACCACACCATATTAATAAGAACCAATTCCAACATAAAAGTTCTACCAGTGGAGGTAAAGTGCGTTGTGTACGTGTGTGCTGTCTATTCATGTAATAGAAAAAATATTGATGTGCGTGAAGGAATATGTTAAATTTGTATTGTAAACAAAGAATAAAATAGATGTTTAATTTATGTACATGTGACAGCAATATATATGTTCCACATTTCAAACCAATCACTCACACAAAGTGACAAGGATAAAAGTGCAAGGTAGCTTGATGTACAGATATTGCCATCGAGGTATGTATGTGTCTCGATAGTTGACATAGACACGTAACAAGGATAGTTGTCTTAATCTCGAGAGCACTTGACTAAGCTGCCTTGAGAGGAAGAAAATTCCCCCTTATATCTCTCTGCCTTTCCGCCCTTATCTCTGCGCCCGTGGGATCCGCTCGCCGCCATGCCTCCATCGATCCACCCCATGCATGTAAGTTGTCCCTCTATTCCCAATTCCCTAGCCGACTCCTTGTTAGCTCAATCGGACTCCAAGGAAAATTGGCAGAGATTTGTTGTTTTTATGTAATTCTGTGTGCTCTGGCAACAGACCTAACAAGGAATTCCACTATTTATTACACGCAACGCTTCTTGTTCGCCTCCTCCATGAATTAAATAGAAAACAAAGACCAAATAATAGTTTGCTATTTCTCAGCTTCTACAAAATCCAGCATAAGTATGGTATTAAGATCAAACAATTGGCTAAATATATGTCTAGCTGCTTCTTTCATTACATCTCAGTCGGGATGGTTGTTATTTCGGTATATATATCTGTTGGTTCGATCATGCTGCTGTTCAATTCAACTAGTACGTTAGAGTTATACATACTATTATCTGAGTTTCTCATGATTTATGTTCTGAAATTAATCATGAAATTACCTACTTTCTCAACAGCTACTCGATCCCCATGGGTGCAGTCGCTGCTGCACGTCAGCATCCTTCCCGCCCTCGCCTGTCATTTGTTCCACGTCCTGGAGCTCGTCGCTTGAGGGAACACGCTCGTCATTTGTTCCACGGTCACGACCACCACTTTCGTTCTGAACCGTCTGCACTGCCACGTCTTAGACCACATCCACGCTAAGAAGGCAGCAACGCTCCTTGTCTTGGTCTGTTGCTCCACCCCTTCGGAAGAAGCACCCACACCTAAATCAGGACACTGGCTCCCATGACCATATCGTGAAGGCATGGAAGCTTTTTGACGACGTCTGTGCTGATTCCTTAGTGGCGCAAGACGAGCCCATCAACACCAAGGTGGTGAACGTGGTGGATGGGTGCCTCTTCACAAGCTCCGCCGATGGCACTGTCAAGATGTACCGGTGCTTGGGCCCTTGGAGCTCGGTCGTGACATGAGCCAGTGACGTCACTTGCCTGAGATCCCCGCTGCTGGCCCACCCTTCTCGTAGCCCGCAACCATTGCTCACCCGAGCTGGTTGCAGCTGCAGCTACGACCCATGTACTGTGGGCTCATTGAGGTCACAGCTAGGGAGGGAGCACCGTCACCAAATAGTCGTCAGAGAGGAAGAACGTTATCCGTGGGTCGAGTCAGGTAGATGTGTGAACAGAGGAGAGAGAATTCAAATGATTAGGATGAGGACATGGGATTTTATACGGAAGATTGACTACTATTTACTAGAAGTTTTTACGCTTGGGGCACAATGTTTCTATGCACACATGTGGTCCTATCTCGAATCCATGGGCACCTAATCACACATTCGGACGGTGAGGGGGTCTGACCAATTTTAGATTGGACTAGGACACATGTCATGATCTTGGTGTGGGCTTCCAATAGTTATTGAAAGCACAAGGCTCTAAATAGTGTGTGTGTGTGTGTGCACGCGCATGCGCCTGTGTATTCAACTGATGCTTTTTATTATGTTTCATCTCACATAATGTGTTCTGTGTTTCTGTCTCTGTCAAAGGGGCTACAAAGAATTCAGTTTCCATGTAGGTTACTTGAGGTGTATCATATCAATAATCCTTGACTGAACAAGGAGATGGAACTATCCTCTGGTTCACCAAATAAACCTTCGTACAAACTAGTGACGAAAGGTTTCAAATTTATTTGTCTCTCGATCTTACCATTTTAATGGTCAAACTAAATTTTTTGTTTCTTTGTTTTTTTTATTTGCCATCAATTGAAAGTATTTAGTATTTTTGTCCCCAAAAGAAGATCCGTCACGTTAGCATGCACATAGTATTCATCATTTCCTCCTCTCGAAGCAGCTTACTCAAGTGCTCTCCAGATTGACAACTGTTCTTGTTATGTGTCGGACAAGACACATACATACCTCAACGACAATATTTGAAGATCAAGCTACCTTGATATATACCTGTCACTTTTATCCTTGTCACTTTGTGCTACTGATTTGCTGTCACACATAAATTAAACATCTATTTTGTTCTCTCTTTAAGATACAATATGTATTCAACATATTCCTTCATGCACACCTATATTTTAACTATTACATCAATAGACATCATACACATACACACACCACACTTTACATCCACTGCTACAAGAACACAATCTAACAATTTCTCTCAAGAAGAACACAATCTAGCAATTTCTCTCAAGAACACACCTGTCTCTTGTAACTAACCATTACTTTACCTCTAGGCCCTGAAAACAACTTTTCCCATTCTTCCTCTGGAAAAGAGGAGACCAATTCGAGGTCAAAGTTCCTCAGCAAATGGCTCCATATCACCTTCATTTGCATGTAAGCATAGTGTTCTCCAGGGCAAACATGCCTACCGGCCGGCGCCAAATGGTGTGTAGGAGAACTTGCCGCCAACTTTGTCCTCCTCTCTCTCTGGACCAAATCTACTTGGATCTTATACATGAGGGTCCTTGAAGATGTATGGCAGACTGTTGCCCACCGTTGTGCATGTCACCAAGGCATGTCCCTTGGGGATTCCATATATGTTTCCTTCTCTTGACCGCACGCTGAAGCCCTTGCTCACGTGACGCATCAGCATTTTTTATGAAGGGTGCAGCCTCAACGCCTCCTTGATGCAGCAATGCAATGTGACCATCTCCTGCAAGATGCAGTAGTCCAGGCGTTCCCCATGCCGTCCAATAATCTCCTTCTGCTCTTCCATGGCGGCTGCCATGTGGTTTCTTCCACCATCGCTGAGCATGCAAGCTCCTGTCCAGATGCTGTTGCTAGAGCTCGTGTGTTGCCCGGCGACCACCAAGGCGACGAGTATCCCGGCGATCTCACTCTCAGTCAATGGCCGGCCATTGCTAGTGTTGGATTCTATGAGTCTCTGTAGCACGTCGTTCTCAGATAGGCCTGAACTCCTGCGTGACCTCACCACCTCGTGGATAATATCCCCTAGCTTAGCGCGATATTTGTCGCGTCGGTCATGCGGCGGGATAGGGAGATGTGGGAAGAAGAAACTGATCAAGTAGAAGCTGTTGTCAAAGAGCTCATTGAAGAGTGGAGCTACTTGGTCGAACATGTTGTCTCGGATATGCTTTCCAAGCAAGCACCGACTTGTGATGAGCAGGATCAAGTGCGCGATCTCATGCTTTAGATCAACAACGCCATGTTGCCCCCATTGTGCAAAGTAATCCTACAAATTTTGTGTATTAATTACAAAGGTGGTCCGTGATCCAATCCAGAGAACATCATCAAGAAACCAAATTAACTGCGTATATATATGTGTGTGTGAATAACTTATTACCTCCACCTCTTGAGCCATAGCATCAACGAGGCTTCTCAAGTTCATCGGCTTTATCGCGTCGATGCAGAAACTGATCTGCCTGCTCCTGGTAGTCAAGTCCACATCATACATAACCCCTTGGCCGAAAACGGGCACTGTGATTTTGTACATATTCGACTGACTAATCTCTGACTCTGAGCCTTGGAAGAAATGAGGTATCGCCTCTGGCCCAACCAGGAAGGTCACCTTCTTCACCCCAAAGATGCTTATCGTGAACACGGTACCCAGCTTTGTGTGCAGACCATGGATCACAGCACGGAGACCCCTGGATTGGAGTGTAGGTAGACAAGCAATCAGTGAAACCCCACTCACGCCATAGGTGGAAGTGCTGGTCCTTTTTTGTTCAGATTTCTTCTTCCTAGCGGGATGGTCATTTTAGTGCTGAGAAACAAAATTGCTATGACGAGACATGCTCCTACATGGATGATTGTTAGATCCATGTCATCGTCAATGGCTCACTTTGTGCAGTAGGATGTGGTGGAGGAGCCAATCAAGCAGCCTATACACATAGTAGTGTAATGGGTGAAGATAAGTTAGAGGTGGAATATATTGATGGACCATAACTTTACTACAAAAAATATTCGGTTGGAAAACAAAGAAAATAAAAGTGCCCACAAAGTAGATCATGTATATGTAACATAAATTTAAAGAGGCAGGATTAGCGGATGAACGGGTAAAATCTTCATTATGTGTCACTAGTAGTTCTCAGATTCAAATTATTCATATCAAATAAAGCATAAAGGATGGTAGTAAATTAGGATGCGGCAACATATATAAGTGTACACTTAGGTTCTTGATTCTAGCCGTGTAATTGCACACACCAATTAGCTTGCTCTAGTTTGCTCTGCATGAGTCATAGTGGTTATAGCACCCGGTTTTAAGGATAAAACTAGATACACACTGTATGTGAGCCCAGAAGGTCAAATATCACATATAGCTACAAATAAGGGTAATATTAATAGATAATGCTTAAATACATAACGTATTAGTATAAAGAATATAACCTCAGAGTATAGACAGCGGAAATACAACTCCGATCTTTAGACGAAGACTCCAAATCCACAGGAACAACTGACTGGTTGACCACAATCCTAATTTCTCCAAACTCTAGCAATCTGGTACCCACCCGGGATTTTTATCCAAATAATTAAAAAATAAAGCAAGCGTAAGTATATGTCGTACTCAACAAATATAACATGGGGTTCATGAGGCTCAAAAGGCTGACACTGGTTTAACTGCGATTATCTTTTAATTGTCACAATTTTAACAAAGGAGTAGTAACAAGTTTATCACAAGCTCATATAAACACATGATCAGGTAAACATGAATAATAAATAGCAAAAACGATAATCATTAGTGGGTATCTTTATCTTTAGTATCATCAGTGATCATCATCTATTCCGTAAGGGTTCCAAGGCCGCTCGTGACCTTGAGCACGACTGATATACCAGTTTTACACTCTGTAGAGGTTGTACACTTTCACTGTGAGTCGTGATTTATCCTTTCACCCGAGGTAGCTAATCTCTTGACCCACTTTCAAGGAAGATCGGTAGGGTTCACTATGAAGCCTTTCAAATGTTCGTCTAACAAGTTAGGACCATTAGATTCACTCGGCAAACAGATGTAGAGCCATATAAAAACAAATACAACATATTTCTACTCGCGGACATAAAAAAATACATCATAGAACATTACATATATACTACATCAACCTCGCGTGTATCTGTAAATAAAAAAGTGAACCATATAAAAAGAAATTAAAAATGTATGAATGTTAAAAAAAATAAAAGATAAGAAAATAAAAAATAAAGATAAATAAAAAAACTAAATAGACGCAAGGAAAGGAAACAAAAAAAAAAGAAAATAAAAATTAATAGAATAAATAAATACAGTAAAAGAATAAAGAAAATGAAAAGAATGACAAAACCCTAGAGAAAAAAAGAAAAGAACACTAAATGGATGAAAGCAAAGAAAAAAAGAAAAGAAAACATACAATAAAAAATGAAACAAAAAATAATAAATGACCAAAAAAGAAAAAGGAAAAAAGAAAGGAAAGGAAAAAAGAAATAGAAGAAAAGAAAAGAAAAAGAAAAAAATAAATAGTAGACAGGAATAAAAAAGAAAAGCGAAAAAGAAATAGAAAAAAGAAAAAAAATCTGCAACTACCAAACCAACGGCACGAAATACGCACCTACGTTGGCGTCAAATGCGCGGACCGCGTTGCTGTGGGCCGTCATCGCGAGCATGGAGGGGAGGGGTCGGCAGCGATGGTTTCGGACGCATAGCAGCCCCCGACAACACCGGCCAGGCAGGCAGCTTATCCGAACCCAGGTCCAAAATCAGACGCGCTTGCCTGGGCCAAGCGAGTTTTCAGCCGACGAAGCAAACAGGCTCGTCCGCTCAAGTCTGTTGCGGCCCTGAACGGAATGGAGCGGAAAGAAGCGGGAGCGTGGGCTCGTGGGCTTCAGCGAGCCTTGATTGAGCCTGCTGCTGCTGCCTCCGTGCGGCGACTACGTACGGTCCAAATGATTAACGAAGGGTGGGCCGGGCCGACGACAACCAGTGGGCCTGACGAGGCATTGCAGAAAGCCGTGACACTGATTCGTGAGGACACGTCATCGCGGCCACGCAGGCAGAGAGGAAACGGAAAAGAAAAAGAACCCGGACCCACCAAAACAGTTTTCCTTCGCTTCGACCGCGTGGACCCACCGCTACCAAAGGGCAGGGAGGAAGGAACCCGCACCGCGGACCGCAGGCGCAGGCAGAGACTCCCGACGCGTTTCCGGCGGCCGCCTCCCTCCCTCTCCCTCTCCGCCCGCCGCGCCTCCGTCGGCTCACGCAAGTAAGTCGTCGCCGTACTATTTCGCGTGGATCCGGATTCCCGAGCCGGTTCCTCGCTCGCTCAATCGGACCCAAATCTCTCGTTCCGCTTCGCTGCGTTCGTTCGTGGGTGCCGGGTGCCCTGCGAAATTTGGATCAGTCCGCCCACCAATCCCTCTTTTCCGTTCGGTTAGGTTCTTCTCCCCGCTCGCTAGCTCGCTCGCTCTTCAGCGTGGGAGAGAGATCAACCGGCCTTGGGTCAACCCACGGGCCCTGGACCCCTGGAACAGGAATCCGTGGGGCCTAACCCAATCGAGGTGTGGGTGCTGCAAAACAGAACAGATCAGGCCCTGTTTGTATGCATATAGAATTTATTTATTGTTACAAGTACCATGGTTTTGGAGCGCTATGAATGAAGCGTTTGGATGCAACAGAGTTTGTAGTTTCGGAAACCATACTATTTGCTAAAACTATAGCCTGTTTGAAATTTTAAAAACTCTATCCACATGTACCTGTTTTTTCCCCTAAAACAAGGTTTGAATGTTTATGGATTCTACAAACTGTAGCTTCTTACCTGTTCATGGTTTTTCTATAAACTTGGTGAGGCTAGGACAAATTTAATAAACAGACATACAGTTTGGAACAGGGGAAGTGCCTAGGTATGATCCAAGGAAAACTGGCAGAGATTTGCTGCTTTATTAATTGTAGAGCGAAAAAACATTTTCATATCTCTGTTTATGTAATTCCGCGTGCTCTAGCAATAGACCTAACAAGGAATTTCGATATTTATTACACGCACCGCTTCTTGTTTGCCTCCTTCATGAGCTAAACAGAAAAGAAAGACCAAAGAATAGTTTGCTATTTCTCTGTTTCTACGAAAATCAGCATTAGTATGTTATTGCGGGCAAACACTTAGCTGAATATATGCCTAGCTGCTTCTGCTTCGTTACATCTCAACGAGGGTGGTTGCTTTGCTTGTAGTTATTGATAAATGGAATGCACATGTGATGCTAACCTTAGAACACGATCTTGATTGGTATCACCCCTTTTTTACAAAAGGTCAACGGTGCACAAGTACATTAGTTGGACTCTGTAAATGGAGTTCGACTCCAGTTGATTTTATATTTGCTTATACTTCAAGGAGATGATCTGTGTAATTTCTCAATTATCTTTGCAGTTTGTAAATTATCTCTTCCAGATATAGTGTAGAATGTAGAATAATTCCATTATCGTTTTGCGTCCATTTTTTTATCTCTTGTTACAGATTGGTGCATGTAATTATTTTTATGATGATATGATTGGGGACTAAGCAAAACTACAGAAGAACTTTCTGCCTTAGCAATGACATAAATAGCTCCCGTATATATAACTGCGATTTATGTAACATCATGCACATGTCGTGCTATCCTCATTTATTTGTTGGCCGCAAATATGTCAAGTCTCTGTTATGAATTATCATACTATAATTATGGTCTAACTTCTTTTTTTACCTCTGTCTTCACTGCAGCCATGTACAATAATTACGGGAATCCTCCAGGGATGCAGATGCCCCCGCAGAACTCTCAACCTGTCCAGTTTGACAATCCATTATACGGTGCAAGCTCAGGTCTAATCAGATCTGGGATAGGAGTATATGGCGAGAAGTTCTTCGGTTCTAGTTCAGAATTCATGCAAAGCAACGTATGGATCCTCCATCAAACCTTATACTTTATTTTTGTTGCTTTCATTCTCTCTAAGTTGTTGGTTCAACTCTTGCAGATCAATAGATACTTCTCCAACCCACAGTATTACTTCCATGTGAATGATCAATATGTCCGGAACAAGTTGAAAATTATACTGTTTCCATTCTTTCACAGGGTAAATCATAGTATTTCCTAATAACATTGTACACAAATCTGGTTCCTCAATCTAGATTGCCATGATAAACCTGCATTTCCTTAATATATTTGCAGGGGCACTGGACCCGAATAAGTGAGCCAGTTGGTGGCCGTTTGTCCTACAAACCTCCAATCTATGACATAAATGCGCCAGATCTGTACATCCCTTTCATGGCATTTGGAAGCTTCATCATTCTTTCAGGGTTTACACTAGGTTTCATGGGAAAGTGAGTTGTTGACAAACAATTGTTCTTCAATCTCCAAATGGTTCTGACCTAATGTCTCTAATTGATTGTACATGATACTTGTGCAGGTTTACTCCAGAAGCTATAAATCTGCAGTTTACAAGGGCACTCATCGGATGGGGCTTCCAGCTCATGCTCCTGAAAGGTCTGCTCTACTCAATGGGTGGGGGTGAGGTGCCACTGCTCGATTTGGTAGCATATGGCGGCTATTTATTTGCTGGGCTTTCACTCGCTGTCGTTGCAAGGCTCGTATGGGCATACTCGTACTATGTCATGATGCCGTGGATGAGCCTGTGCATGGGAGTGTTCCTGGTGAGGACGATGAAGAGGGTGCTCTTCACGGAGATGAGAAGCAGCGAGAGGCACTCGTCGCGACAGCATTACTTCCTTCTCTTCATGGCAATAGCACAGTTCCCCCTATTCTTCTGGCTTGGCAGCATAGGTGCATGATACGGTTTTGTGCTTGTTGTACGTTCTCAGTATTAACACTGCAAAGTGGTATTTAAGTGTTTAGATGTGTTGTAAAAAACAGTTGGAGGGTGGTCTCAAACAGCTTATGCTGGTTTAGCTTCGGTAGTATGTTCTTTACCAGGTTTTGAGATGTGGTGCTGTATAGATTGTGGGTTCTGCTGCTGAAGTTCTGTGTGATCCTTAATCATTTTAACTGAGTTCATGATGCTATTTTTCCTGCTATCATTTATGTTAGAGAGATGTGTGCTAGTTAGTATTGTCGACATGTTTTCAATTCAGTATGAATCGTTCAATTACCTAATTTTCCAGTATATATACTGTACACGGTTTTCTGTGTCCGGTATTCGGAGTTGGAGGTGAAAAACCGGGCACAGTCAGCAGGTGCAGCTCAGCTTTCACCATCCTTCGTCCTGCAAGTCAGGCCGGCCGGTTCACACGCTGGTGTATCTATCACAGACGTGGCCGACAATGTGGCCTCTCTCCCAGCCATGGGTGCCACTCGCAGCACGTGCACACTTCCATGGCTCTCGGCTACTGCAGTCTGAGCTGCATAGCCACAAGCCCTCACCACAGGTCTAAACCAAATGCAGAGCAGACCAGTCAAGAAAGGGATTAGAGGTGCCAGTTTCGGCAGTCGCCGAGAACTAGAGCCAAACTTGTTCAGGGCCTTAGGCCATCATGTTAAAAATGTTAGTATTGTGTTAACGCCATCTGCCATTACTTCGAGAAATGTAAGATTAAAGTCACTGATTTTACCCAAAACAGAACACCTGAAAAGCCTGAGGTTCAGAACTTCTGACAGTAATCAAGCTGGTGAGCCTGAATTCTGAAGAAAAATGCACAGAGATCAGTTATCCATGACAAGTATGCTTCTCGAATTATAATTCTTCATTCCTTGTGGTAACAAGAGCCGAGTATTGAGGGACATGGAATCAGTCCCCTGAACTAAGAACTGTGTGTGACAGGCAAGGCTTATGCCATGCAGGCAGCTGAAGCTGATTCTATACAACAGCCAAGAGACCGAGCAAAAAATGAATAGGGTGGAAAAACAAAGTGGGTTTGGAAAAGAAAAAAAAAATCTGCTCTAGGGATGGTTCATGACGCAACAGCTGCCCTTGCATATGCAACAGGTAATGACAGCAGCTTCTTCGCCTTGCCGACGTACGCACGCTTGGTGAAGTTGTCATAGTCGTTTGCCTCAATGGCATCAAGGATCTGCCTGTACAGCCACAGAGAAGCGAGAACCTGTGCAACCGAAGAATTGTCCAAATAAAGGGTAAGCGATTCAGAGCCTGTAAAAGAACACCCGGTTCTCCTGAAAAATTTAAATCATAGGCGTATAAAAGAGAGAGAACTTCTACGCTCACATACCGGCCATCTACTAGCAGAGTCTAGATGGGCGACACCCTTCTCAGCCTCATCAAAGAACAACCGGGCACGCTGAATCTGGCCCTTCATGAACCTCCTCCACTTATCTGTCACTTTCCCTCTGAATATGTCCTCTTCTGTCAGACCTGCCTGTGCAAGCTCGTCCAAGGGAAGGTATATTCTCCCCCTCCTCGCACTGAAATTCCATCCACAACAACAAACAAACTACATCACAATCAAGAAACAAAAAAAAATATTCTGAACAGCGACAGGCTCACATGTTCCTTGTTGACAAACAAATAGACAGTAAAATACAGTACGCCTCTAGCACTTTGAATATTAAATCCTGGACTAGACTGTATCGCACAAGTGTTTGATATAAAAACTTAGTGGGCGCCGTATCAAACAGATGTAGTATAATTATATGCTTAGTTGTGGATAAAGCCAGTACTTACTCTTCGCCTACATCTCTGAGAATATTCGTCAGCTGGTTAGCAATGCCAAGAGCCAGTGCAGCATTGTACACGCTCTCAGTTGAGGCCTTGGAGTCGGGGGCAATGCCCATGACAGGAACTGTCATGAGGCCAACCGTGCCAGCGACGTAGTAGCAGTAGAGGTAGAGCTCATCAAAGGTCGTGTACCTCGACTTCCATAAGTCCAGCCTCATTCCTTCGATCATATCTTTGAACGGCTGGAAACGAAAGAAATTGTGGACGTTGCAGAACATCATGAGTGAATTGCAGTAATTGCTAAATGTACTAGTATCCAGTAACTCTTAGCAGATCTTCAGACGTTTTGTGGTAATTTCAGTTGGTGGATGGATTTACCTGAATATCAACAGGAAACTTTGACACTGTGTCTGAGAGGGCGGCGTCGTACATATCATATGGGCGCCCTTCAAAGAGATCCTCCAATCGCTTCTCCCAGCGATCAAGAGCAGTCGGCGTGATGTAAGATGCGTTAGGACCGTCCACTAGCTCATCAGTTCTTCTGCACCACACTGCACAAGGGAAAGAAAACATATGTTGCTTAAGAATCAACGGCGTCACAAACAAGAACGACAATGTTAGTTTCGACACAAGCGATGTCCGATGAGATAAGTAAACCCGCAGCATAAATCGTACCGTAGATCGCCCAGACGGCTTTGCGCCTCTCAGGAGTCATGAGCTGTGTGCCTGACAGGTAAACGGAGGAAAACATGAGCCACGACAAGATACATCATATCCTTGCAAAAAGAAAAGAAAATACAAATGATATCAGAATGACCAAATCTCAGTATTAATAATGAAGCAGCTTCCTGCTGCTACCCATAGGCCCATATGGTCAAGGCAATAGAAAAACAATTCAGTTATAGAGATCTAGAGAGTGCCCTTAAAAGAAGTAGAAAACAAGGGATTAAATCAAGCCCATGCGTCTCCAAATCACCTAAAGCCCCCGCCAACCAATCCAGCCATAACCAGATAACTTTATTCAAGGAACCTACTTATATCAGTTGCCAGTAGTCGGCCACAATTCGACACCCAGGAAATAGAAAGCAGACAGCCGTTAGGACTGATTGATTATTTGTCCCCTTGAGAGAGAGCCATAGAAGATGGCACCCAGCACCCACGTGCACACTATCTTCTTGTTACCTACCGAGGTCGGCACGATCTTGTGTATCAACTGGAAACATGTGCAGTTACCGAGAGTCCAGAGATCCTCCCTCATGTGGGTTGCCGCACTAATCACACTCTTAAGAAACTATTCAGTGAAAAGACTGAGACTCACTAGACTCCCTCAATCGCACGCACTACCCCAGAATCGCGTTCGCTAGGTACAAAATGTCTCCACTTGGCTTCCATTTGGCCTGTTAATTAAATGCTACTACTACTGTACTAGACAACTAGTACTATAAGTATGCAATGAAGAGATTGATATTAACGGCGTGTTTAGTTGGACCCCAATTTCTAAAAGTTGCTACAGTACATGTCACATCGAATGTTTGCGGCCCGTGTATGGAGCATTAAATGTAGACAAAAAGATAAACTAATTGCGCAGTTTGGTGGGAAATTACGAGACGAACGTTTTGAGCCTAATTAGTATTTGAACACTATTTGTCAAATAAAAACGAACGTGCTACAGTAGCCCAAAATCCAAATCCCTACAACTAAACTAGGGCTAAATTGTTAACAGCAGCACTACTGATACTGAACAAGGAGGAGGAGAGCAGCAGTGGGGTGTGGTCGGCAGTGGCACAGACCGAGGTAGAAGGTCTTGGCGTACTCGGCACAGACCTCGCCGCAGCGGTCGTAGGCGTCGCCGAGGAGGCCCCAGCCAACGACCCCCTCCTCCTCCTCCTTCTCCTCCACCCACCGCGGCTGCTCCCGCCGCGTCGTCCGCCGCCGCTGCGGCGCCGCGGTCTTCACGAGTGCCGCCTGCCGCAGCACGACCTCGTACACGGCCTCCTCCGACGCCGTCCTCACCGCCACCGCGGGCGCGGCGGCGGCGACGAGGCTGGCGCGCGGCGGCCGCGCGAGCGACGCGACGCCCCACCTCGCGGGGAGCGGCGGCGGTGGGATAAGGAGGACGCGGCGCGGGCGGTGGTGGTGGGAGTGGGACGGCGACGGGTGGTGGAACCTGCCGCCGCCGCTGCAGGCGTGGTGGTGCGCGGCCCAGACCGCGGACGAGCCCGCAGCCATTCCGGCGTGCGGGTGGGACAGGGGAAGGGGGACGAGGGAGGGGTCGCGCGCGCGGATGTGCCGGTGGGCGGTGGGAGTGGGGAGGCTGGGAGTAGACGGGTGGCGGACCGGCGGAGGCGTCGCGGCGTTGGGAGATGGGAGGGTCGGGCGGGTCGAGGACGAGGAGGCCTCGGGAGTGCTCTGGTTTAAATGGGTGGCTGGGGAGTGGGGACAGACGAGACGAGGGAGGGGGTAGCCGTTTCATTTGGAGGTGCACGTGGACCCATCACCAGCCTTTCAATGCCCGTCACAAGTGGTGGTACTGTAAAGTGCAAACCCTTTTTTTTTTTTTGGCTCTTTTCTTTTTCTTCACACAAGTGGCGGCTGCTGTTGCACTTGGAATGGTGGCTCTCCTGTTTCTTTAAATTCATTGAGTAGCTAGGAAAAGAGGAATGTAACGGGGAAAAAATAAGAGCATGGCTGGCGCGCTGACATCCATGGATGGACCATGGGTTTTCATCTGCTACTCCAAAATATACAACTTGTTCGCTACAGCTTTGGATGTAATTATTTATAACACTACTTCACCAATGATTTTACAAGACGATGCCCTTTTATTAACGGAGGCTGTCACAAAATCCAACCGCCACGGTTAATACCTGCGATTAACGGAGGCAGGCATTTTTTATTTACCGAGGCGGGCACTTTTGCCCGCCTCGAAAAATCGATTTACGTAGGCGGGCGTTTTAAGAAAACCACCTAAAAAAATAGAATATTTTCAGAGGCGGTCGTCTTAAGGTGCCCGCCTCCATAAATCGATTTACGAAGGCAGGCGACTTAAGACAACTACCTCAAAAAATGGCATATTTTCAGAGGCCGTCGTCTTAAGGTGTCTGCCTCCATAAATCGATTTTCGAAGACGGGCACACTATAAGGCTCGCCTCCTAAAATGGC